AGAAAGCACCAGTCGCCATGAAGGCTGGGGGGGAAAGGTGTGCCCTGGCAGCCTCAAGGGGAGTGGTGGCTTAGATGGTTTCCGGGGCAGGGGTGGGCAGGCAGAGAACCCCACCTGGGTAGGGGTGAACCCCGTTGGGATACAGAGCATCAGGGGCAGGCTGCCCAGTGGGCTGGGTGGGCACCGGGCTGTAGCCGTTGACGCCCAGGGCAGCAGGGATGGCAGAGACAGGCGTGGCAGCGATGGCAGGAGGGGTGCTGGTTCCTGGGGAGGAGAGAGCGACAGAGACAGAGCAGAGAAGCAGACATACACACAGTTGCAGAGAACCCATCAGCAAATCTGAAGGCAGAGGGGAGAAAGCAGGCCACTCTCTGACCCCTGAGCCCCTCCCAGGCTTCCCCGAGCAGTGCCCTGTGCCCCCTTCTTACCCCCACCATGCTGTAGCTTCCTTGCTCCGCCAGCCCAAGCCTTACCTGAGGATGGGGTGATGGGGGTGGCGATGAGGCCATTGGCATTGATGGCAGCCATGTGCTGCATCTGCACGGCGGCCATGGTGGCCATGGGGCTGAGGTAGGCACTGTGAGCCGCTACCAGGGCCGCCTGCTGCTGCATCAGCTGCCGGAGGGGAGAGAGGGAAGTGGGGCCGAGCCCCCTGTGCCTGGCCTGGCTCCCCTCCCCCAACCCTGGGCCTGGACACAGGGGGCCGGGCCGGGCAGTGCTCACGGCCTGGGTGTAGGCGCTGTAGGCTCCAAACTGGAGGGCGATGGGGCTGAACATGCCCAGCTGGGTGGCCACCTGCTGCATTCGGCGGAGACCTCGCTCCTTCTCTGTGTCAGCAAACTTCACCACCAGGCTGGACGAGGCACCCTGGGCACGGATCCACATGCAGGTCAGAGGTGCAGAGTCGGGGTCTCTCCTCCTGAGAGCCCTCAGGACCTGGCCTCAGTTCCACCCTCCTCTTTTGGAGGGCAGCCATCATTTTACCTATGTCAAATGGCGAGATTTCCATCCCACCCTCTCCCTGCGCTGGGATGTGCAAGAGACTAGGGGAAAACAAAAAACAAAAAACCAGGCACGTGAGGCATGAGCTTGGAAAGAGAAAGGCCTGTGGGAATGGAAAGGGCATCACTGGCTTCTCCGCAAGGATTCCAAGCTAGAAACCATCTCACAGCGGACAGGCCACTGTGAGTGTGTAATCTCGGCCTTGTCTTGCCTGGTAGCAGCCCTATCTCCCCCCACCTCTGCAACTCCTGCCCCCACACCCCAGTCCTTATGGCAGGCTCAGGGGATGCAGCCTCAGATTTTAATACCAGCCCCAGACGAATAAAAACCAAATGGAAACATTTGCGAGGATTATCGCCAAATCCTAGAGCCTCGGTGCAAGAAGGAGCCACGGGCCATCTATGATGTCATGTCCTCCCCACCGAGTCCCCGCTACACGCCTGCCCAGGCTTTGCTGGAGAACCGTGAGCCTCACGTCCTTCTGAGCCAGCTAGCTCCAATTTAGAGGTTTGTGCTGCTGGGGAACCCCCAGAATGCGTCACTGACCCAGCGCAAATGTGCAGGGGCAGCGGAATAAACGTGTGCAGGGGCAGGGTGCACGTGGGATCTCTACACGAGGGTGCGGGGGTGGGGAGATACACCTGGGCCCTCTAACCAAGTATCCTGAGGCCCCAGCAAATCGGGGAGGGGCGTTCTGGGAAGATAGGAGAAGAGTTGGGGGGTAAAAGGGAGCTGAGGAAGGGAGGAAGCAGGAGAGGAGGGTGAGGGGATTTGGACTGAAGATGGATGAGGGAGGGAGAAGGGGAGGTGGGGAAATGTCACTTGAAATGTGAGGGTGTCCCTAAGCTGTTTTGTTCTTCCGCCGGAACTTTCCGTTCCAGTAGATTCAAATATCCTCTTGGGCCTGGACTGCTCTTCTGTGCAAGGGCTCGGTGGGTGGGCCAGGTGGGAAGGAGAGGCCTGGGGGATAGGAGGGCGGAGCTCACCGGCAGGGTCCGACTGCTGTGAAGGGTGTTGATGGCCGCCTGGGCCTCAGCGTGGGTCTGGAACTTCACGAAAGCGCAGCCTAGACGGGCCAAGATGGAGGAGGAAGGGGATGAGCGCCCAGCCCCGAAGGCCCCACAGTGGAACCCGATGCCCAGGGAACCCGGGGGAGGAAGGCAGAGGGGGCCTGTGGGTGGGCTACCTTTGCTGGTGCCATCTGGCCCCCGGAGCACAGTGCACTCGTCTATGGTCCCGAAGGGCTCGAACATCTTCCGGACGTCCTCATCTGTCTGCTGCTTCCCTAGCATCCCCACAAAGAGCTTCCGGTCTTCTGAGGGGTGGGGCACAGGAGGGAAGCGGCATGTTCGTCCTGGCTGCCCCCGCAGCCCCTTCACCTTCCACTCTTCTCTGGAGTGCCTGACACTATTTCCCCACCCCGGGGACCCTTGGTTCTAGGGTGTGAAAGGGATGATGGTTTAGGCTCTGAAGGACTTGCCCTCCACTCTGTGCCTCGGTTTTGCCATCTCTCCAGTGGGCCGGATCTCGCCCCGTCTGGTCAAACTGACTCCGACCCCCACCTTGACTGAGAACTCTTCAGAACTGTCAGACTTTCTTACTCAAGAACGACTGCCCCTCAGCTACTCCGAGCCCTGGGCCGGGGAGTTGGGGGAGAGGGGCCGAGCCCAAACATACGGAACCTACCTCCTCGGCTCTCGCTGTCGGCTGGCTTGACCTGGATCGGCCTGTTCATCTAAAGGAGAGAAGAGAAGGCAGCTGCTGGGGATACTCGGAACACCCCAGACCTCTCCCCAGGCCAGGACCTGCAGAGAAGCTAGAGGGCACAAGTCCCGGGCCCAGGCAGTTTCCCCAGCCCCCTAAGTTTCTGATGGGAAACACAGGACAGGGGCGAATGTGGTTTAGGATTAGGGCCTGAGGGGATTAGAGGCAGTGGAGAGAGAGGATGGAGAGGAAGATGCTAGCAGGACACAGCTCCAGGCTGAGGTTGGGGTCCAGAGGACTTGGCCAGGGGTAGGTGCTGCTCTCCGTAGGGGGAGAAAGGGGCCCGCCCAAAGGACCTGGGTCCTGAGAGAGCCCAACCAAGGGGCTATTGAGTAAGGATTGCCTCAATTCTACAAAGTAGGAGCAACAGAGGCCACCCCATGAAGAAGCCTAAGGACTAAGCCTCTAGACTGAGGGAGACCCCACAGAGGCCCGGACTTCCTTCAGAGCCCTGGAGGTGTGTCTGCCTCTCTTTCTGCCCCCCTACACCCCTTGACCCCAGGGGGAAGGCACTCGGGCAGCACAAAGGGAGCAGATGCCCAGTCTCCGTGGCAACGGGAGAATGCGCACCATGGCAACCGCCCACTCAGCCTGATTTATCCGTCCCCGTCGCCCTGGCGACCGTGGTGACGTCATCACTTCTGCTGCTCCACACACCCGGAGAAGGAGTGGGGGGGGTGGGTGGGAACAGGGTTTGCTGGGGGTGGAGGATTTGATGGGGGCTGGGAGGTGGGGGAGGGGCCCAGACAAGCTTCCTGGTCCGGAGGGAGGCTTGCAGAGCGGTCTCTGCAGGGGTCATACTAGCCCTCGTGCCTCTCTCTGCCAGAGCGAATCCTTGGTATCTGGAGGGCTCTAGAGAAGATGCTGTCCTGGGCTCCATCGCAATTTACCCTGCGCATGGAAGTCTCCTGAGCCCTAACCTCCCCCAAACCCCTGCAGGATCTCTCTTTGTTCAGTCTTCTCTGGGAGTGGAGAAATTTCTAGTTCCACACTCCATGTTCTTGTCTGGTGAGAGGGCTTGGAAATCACTCCTGCAGATTGATTTCCTTAACCAGGGTGGGGAGCACTATAGGAGCTGGAGAAGGAGGCGAGGGACTTCACAGTGAGTGTCTGAAAACATTTTGCTATGGAGGTCTTTGACCGCTGAGGTTGCATCTGACGATGGGGTAGTCCTAATTCCGGTGACCAAAAAAAAATGAAAATAAATCACCCATTTCCATTCTGAGGGTGGAACTAGAGGCATTTTCAGGAAAGGCACTGGGCTGGGAATCAGGAGACTTGGGTTCAAGGACCAGTCCTTCCCTGCCACTTGCTAGCTGGAGACCTTGGACAAGTCGTTTCTCTCCTCTGGGCCTCAACTTCCTCCTCTGTGAAACAAGGGGCGGACTAGGCAACTCCCAGCCAGGTGCCCCTCAGTGCTGGTGTGCTAGCATTTGGAGGGCCTGTGCGTGGCATCTCTTCACACCCAGAAGTGCAGAGGTAACAGCTGCCTCTGCCCCTGCTCACTCTGGGTCCTCTTCCCAGGGATCAGACCATGCCAGCCTGGCTGGCCGTACTCTACCCGTTTTAGAGAATACTCTTCCAGTGTTCCCAGTCTTGAACCAAATCTAAGCCTCAACTGATACTCCTTTTCCAGGGCCCCACCCCCCAGATCTCTGGATCTGAGAGCAGCTGGTGGGGAGGGAGGTAACAGTCACACAAATCCTCCAGCCAATCTGCCCCCAGCTTTCTCGCCCACCAATCTGGGATTATCCCATTCGAGGTTCAATCTCCTTAGGCGTGTGCGTGTGCGCGCGCGTGCGTGTGTGTGTGTGTGTGTGTGTGTGTGTGTATGTCAAAGCGTGGGGGTCAGACGCTCTAGGGTGCATGGTCTTTCACCTCTTCCTCTCCAGTACTGTAACCAAGCAATCAGGACATTCCCTCACAGGCACCCGCCCCACCCCCACCCCAGGAGAGGTAGACAGGGAACCAGGGATGCAAGATCTTAGGCTTGGCGGGAACCCCTTTCCAACGGCCCCCTGGGAATTTGCCGTTCTCTATGGAGACGGGGACCTGGGACCCAAAGAGAAAGGATGCGGTTTCCTCTCTGCACAGGCTCCCAGGCACAAAAATAGCACATCAATAAATACCCACAGCTGATGTGGCCATGCACAAAGACACATACAGGCGTATAGGCCTTGGCGAGGACCACGTGGACGAGAGGCTCCCCAACACCCTCACAAGCAGGCCCCCGGGACCCCCTTGCAAACCCCCTGTGCACCCCCATGCCCCATTCCCAGCCTCCTCCCCCTCCTCAGCCTGGCACTTCCTGTGGGAAGCCCAGGCTTTGTTAACTCAGCTTGGGCACACCTGCCCCCTCCCCTGAGTCCAGCTGTGCCCTGTTTACCTGGCAACGAGCACTGGCGCCTCTCTTCCCTAGCTACCACTACCCAGGTGATAATCCCTCCCCGGGCCGCCCAAAGAAGAAGGGGCTATTTATACCCCAACCCAGGATGGCTCACTCCCTTCACCACCATCACGTTGAAGGCCTTCCACCTTCTCACCAATAGCAGAAAACCCACTTCCAAGCTGAGCTCATGGCTCACACACAATCTAATTCTCTCGAGAGCACAGGCCAGGGGCCCTGACACGCTGGCTCCACACTTGTTCTTGGTGTTCCAGACCACTTACAGGTTTTCTGTGTGGGGCCAGAATCCACCTGCCCAGCTGCAAGCTGACAGAAACGGCCCATGTCCCCAGAGTGAAGGGGGGAGGGTAGGCCAGGCAGAGGACATCCTGTCACTCTCACACCCTCGCCTGGGGGGGAGGCACACCCTGCTCCCAGGACAAACCCAGGGACCTGTGACAGAGCCACTCCTGGGAGAGAAGAGGAAATGGAGATCAACAGCCAGAGGCCCAGTCTCCATTCTTTCTCTCTGCAGCCTGAAGCATCTCCCTCACAGGGTAGCACCTTCTAGATTCTGGGGAACAAGGAGAGAGGGCTAAATGCCCCATTTGAAAAAACCTGCAGTAGGAAGGCATGAAGATTAGACAGAAGGAAGAACCCAACACAGTTGTGCAGGAGCCAACACGCTGTACACACACACACACACACACACACACACACACACACACACACACACACACACGTTGTCTGAGGGGAGAACGCAGGTGGCAGGAGAGGACCTGGGGGACGCAAAGGCTCGAGCAGGGCCAGTCACAGACATCTGCTCTCCTCCACTGCCCTGGGTTTGCTCCCTCAAACCTTGAGGGCAGGGTCCACCTCAGGGGATGGAACCCCTCATTTCCTACTGGGTGTTCTGTCAGGTCCCTTGGGATTCTGTGCCCTGGGGCAAGGGCCAAAGTGGAGAATTCAGTGTCACCTAGGAGCCCTGGAACAGGGCTGGACAATTATTAACAAGATGTCCCTCTTCCTCACCCCCACCCTGGACAGGACTTCCTCAAGCAGGGCAGGCAGCGCCTCTCTGCACCTGGGATGGTGCTCTGCCTGGGCTGCCGGGCAGCTGGAGGAGACATCCCTGGCTGGCACATGTGGGGCCCTCGGGGCTCATGCCCACCCCAGGCCATCTCTTTCGTCCAAGTCCCCACTCCGGTCCCCTTTTCCTCTCTATCTTTTCCCTTGACCATCTCTGGTTTCTGCCGGGGCTCTGAGATGGGGGAGACAAGAGAGACAGACAAACAGCAGTGGAGATGAAAACTGTTGATTTGCAAGGGGCCTCCACAGAGCCAAGGAGAGAAAGGAAAGTTGGGACTGGAGGAGGACCAGGCTTCCAGGGACGTGTGTGCCCACACGCCCACACATCTGGCCTGTCGGAAGCTCACATGTGTGTGTGCACAGACACACGCTCGCCGTGGATCCCTGAGCCTGCTCACATACGTGCATGGGCCCTTCACTCTGACCGTGATGGGCAATGGCTATTCTTGCCACCAACTGGGATTAGATCCTCGGGGGAGTGGTGTGTCAGTGGATTTGCTACAGCTGGATTTTCTTTCCTTGTGGTACTCAAGGGTTGAGGCCACGGAAGGGTTGGGTCATGGCCCTGTGAAGGGCTTGAAGTTGGGGGTGGTTGGAGCAGTTCTAATTTTCCTAGGTCCCTACCACCCTCCCCATCTGCTTTGTCTCTCCCTCCCAGGAAGAGGTGGATGACCTGTGCTGTTCTCCACTTCCCGCACAGGGGCGGAGAGAGGCTGGGACAGATGTGTCTCCAGCACCCAGCCCCTGCTGAGCAAATGTTTGCTGAAGGTGAGGACGGAATGAGGTCTCAGGCAGCACTGGCTAGGAGTCACCGTCTGGGAGAACACAGGAGCAGGTAGATAGCAAAAGAAAGTAAGGCATCCCCTCACCCCCCGGCTTCCAAGACTGGGGGGCCATCTAAGATTCCTTGTTCCTGCCTTCCATGACCAGACCAGGTTGGGACAATGGCAAGACTGGGGCTGGGAGGAAGAAGAAACAAAGAGATATGACCTTGCAGGAGAAAGGCCACCAGCGCCCTCCTGGGCACACCAGGGTGGAGGGATCAGGCCTGATCCCTCACAATGTCTGCCCCTGCCCCAGGCCTAGTCCAGCTCAGACCTGCCCAGGCCCTGCTCTCCCCTGATGCCCTGAGACTCTGTTCCCAGGGCTCTTCCTGGGAGACATGAGGGGAGCCTGTCTGAGCTCAGAAACCAGCACCTAAATGCCAATCCAGCCAGCACCAGCTGCCTATTCTCAGGCTACAGGCACCCCTCCCCCACCTCACAGTCACCCAGGCTGCCTTTCCAGAGCCACAAAAGAGTGCCTGGGTGCCTCTTGCACACGTTGACCCACACGTGGTGTCCAGAGTTTTTCCCCCACACCTCCCAGTCAGCTAGTCCTCTTCCTGGTGTAGCCCCTGGGCTGGTTGGGAAGTGAGGAAGGGGTTGCATCTCCTCCTTGTAAAAATCAAGTTGACTCCACTAATCACTGTTTTCTTTCTCTCCAGGTAAGAAGAAATGCATGCATCTACAACCTGAAAGATGGATGCTGGGGGGGGGACTTCCTAGTGATGAGAGGAGGTGGGAAATAAGTTCTCCATCTCCTCTCGGAAGGGTGGTGAGCCTTCCGCCACTTCCACGGCCCCTCCTTAGTCCCCCGGCCCTGCAAAGGACAGAACTCACCCCTGGAAGAGTCTTCTGTTCGTGCAGGGCACTCTGGGCCTTCAGGGCTGAATCGCGGGCACAGTATGTCAGGAAGGCACATCCTGAGGAGGGGCAGGGGCAGAGAGACAGGGTGGGGGGGGTGAGTCCCAAGCTCCCCTCCCTCAAGGGCTCCCCACCACGAGATGGAGACCTGGGGAGCTCTTCCCTGCTTGCCGTCTTCTGCCTGCTAGGTGGGGAGGTGTCTGAGAGGGGTAGATACTCTGCCCCAGAAGTGGAGCAGAGACCCGGAGGCCTCAGTGCTGGTGGTGACCGAAGAGGACGGACACGGGCTGTGGGGAGACGGGCTTTGTGTGGGGAGAGAAGGGGCATGTGATTGCCAGGCAAGTCCCTGCAGTGTGGCTTGCTCTCCTCCTCAGCTGCCCTCTTTTCCCCTTTTTCCCTCGCTTCCACCTCCCTCCATCTTGGTCACCATTACCCCGCTCTTCTCCCGTTTTCCCGATATCCTCATCACCCCCCAACTCCACCAGGGTAGAGGGTGGAGGGTGGAGAGTGGAACAGAGAAGGAACGGGAAGAGCAGTTAGACAGAAAAGGAAGTGCTTTTTCCGTAGGCCGGTGGGGCAGGAGGCAGTGTGGCCCCTCGGATCCCGTGCTCGGAGCTCTCCAAGTGCTGACCCCAGGCCACCCCTGCCCAGCCGCGCAGACCCCAGGAGGTCTGAGGAGGGTCCTCCCTTCTGCCCCAGCTCTCTTAACTTTCCAAGTCCCCCACAACCTCCGTCCTTCACGCCTGACTTCTCAGCCTCTAGTCCTGAGCTGCCCTGCCCAGTACATCTTTACTCTTTCAGGGTTGAGCACGTGACACTGTTTCCCGACCCCCCAGTCCTAAGATTACCTGAGGTTGCTCAGATTGTCTTGCTACACACACACACACACACACACCTGCCCGGCTCCTTAGCGCTCAAACCAGCTCTCTTGTTCCTCCGTCCCTTCTTGAGCTCATCCCACGACATCAACACCCCCGTGTGCCTGGGATCCACATCCCCCTCTTGACAACTCTTCCCCTCCGACAGGCCCGCCTCAGCCCCTCACCCTGGAGTCTCCCGGTCACTCATCTGAGTGCTCTCCCAGCTCCTCCAGCCACAATCCCTAGCACTGAACTCTTCTCTTTCCACACCGGTCCTTCCCAGGGGCTCCCTCCCTCCGGCCTGGCTTCCCCCCACCTCCCAGCCACCCCCTGAAACCTCTCCATCCTGCCTGACCCCTCACCCTTGTGCAGCCCGGTGTACTTGTCCTTGATGACAGTCAGCTCGAAGATCCGACCGAACTGTTCAAAGATGGGCTTCAGGTCCTTTTCCTCCAGATGCCTCGGGATCTGCCCCACAAACAGCTTGATGGCATCCGGCTCCTTCATTGAGGCGGCCCAGGAGGAGGGGCCGAGGGGAGCAGGGAGAGGCCCAAAGGCCGGGGGAAGCTGCCTGACAAGGAGGCAAGTGGTGGGGGCCGGGGGCCCAGCCGGGGCTGGCTTTCCCTGTGGCCCCCAACCACGCTGCTGAGCAGAGGGGCGGCTCTTCACACAAAGGAGGCCCGGGGAGTTGAGGACCAGGGGTCAGGGGTCTAGGCAGACACTGTCATGCCACCAGGGGGCATAGCCCAAACAGATGATCTCCCTCCCAGAGATCTGGCAAATATCCCAGGATGGTGCGGCCGAGACCTGGAGGGCTAGGTGGCAGCAGGGGCGCAGGGGCTTGGAGGGCTGGGACCTGGGAGTTGAGATGAGGGCTGGAGGCGGGGAGGGGGCCTGAGGAGGGTGACGGGGAGGAGCCTGAGGGGTTCAGGGGCCTGGTATGGTTGCCAGCAGCGTCAGTGAGGGGGGCCCACGCCTGATGTGGGGAGGTGGCTCTCTCGTTGGCTTCCCTGGGGAGGACACCTCCCTGTGACGGATCCTTCTGCTGGGTCTGAAGATCCCTGAGGCCAGATGCTTGATCGCCGATGGCGGCAGGGCTCCGGGGGT